GTTCAAATTTCAAACTATATTGTCAATTTGTCACCCCCGATCATTTTGAGCTGAGGATACCTGGTGGCCAACCGGGCGACACAACCGGCCAGCCCCCTCCCCCTCCTCCCAAGACGTCCAGGCAGCCTGGATAATGTTCAAATTTCAAACTATATTGTCAATTTGTCATGGAGAATCATCGAGTGGACAGTAAAACTATGGAAATCCAGAAAAAGGAAAAAAGGATGAGGGGCTGTGTTAGATTCTTTCGTTGGGCTTTTGCTGACTCGTCAACAGTCTGTGGAGCCGTGACTAAGTTAGACATGGTGCCTAATAGCGTGTTGGGCTGTTACGTTGGACTTCGTCAAGCCATGGTCTGTCCTTGACCTAAAATCAGACTAACATTGGAATGTTGAATCTGTATTTTATTTCTAATTGTTAAAACTTAAGCTAGGGTCTTCATGACTTGGAGATTTTTGTAATTTCTGTTGGTTCTCATCTCTCTGACCTGGTGAGCACAATTGACTTGTATATGACTTTACGTGGTCTACACTGGGTGTATGTTTGCCTGTTTGTAATGATGCAGGGATTGCTGTGCGGAATATGCTGGTAACCTATGACCGGGCCAATGCGAAAGTGGGGTTTGCATCCAGGAAATGCAGCACGCTCTTGGATAATATACCCCCAGTCATTCCTTCGACAAGCTATGGGAGCACTACTCCACCTGATAGTGTTTCTTCTATGCCAGCATCTGATGCTTATCCGGCACAAGATTCTCAATCTTCTCCTGAATCCAACTTTCCGCCTGCTTTGGAGTCGGTGTCTCTGGCCTCCAGTGAGGTAGTTCCTCTGGCTTCCGATGAAATAGTTCCTCCAGGCTCGAGTCAGCTGGCTCCCTGGTCAGCCCCACCATCAACTCCACTGTTTGTCACACCAAATAGACCTAGCCAGGAGAGTCGTCCTCTCCAAGGCGTTGATCACGGAAACCTCTCTCAGCCTGATACATCTGAGCAAGTGAAGAATGGTGGTAATGAAACTCCCTTGGCTAATACAACTTCACCACCTCGAGAAGGTGAGAATAGTGATGGGAATGAAACCCCTCTGGTCTCTAGTCAAATCAAGACAGCTTCCTCCTCGTTGTCCTCCTCTTGCTCCTCCTCGTTCTTCTCTTTCTCTTTTCCTTCTTCCTCCACCCTTTTCTTTACCTCTTTCCCCGTGTCTTTCTCCTCCTCCGCTGCCGCCTTTTCCTTCTTCTCCTGATTCTGTCCTTCTTTCTTCACCACCTCCTTTCCTCATTCGTCCTCCTATCCGTTTGCACTTCTGTGGCACCTCAGCATGAACCTGGTAAATGGATTCAAACAGATGCGTGCCAAGTCCTTTGCGCTTTCAACTTGGATAGCAGATTTGTGTTGATAGATAAGCAAATTGTTGTGAAAAAAGACTATTCGCGAGATGCAAAGACGACGCACAGACAGAAAAGATGTAAATGAGTGCACTGAAAGATTACTAGTACGAACGAAAAAAGTGAAGTTGGAGAATCCATAAACAATGGTAGTATTATTTTATATAACAGAGGAATTTTTGGACTAGAGACCTCCTCTTTTTGTTTCTCGCTTTTCCTCCAGGCTTTGTCATCGCAATCCGGCCGGCATCTGTACGGTTTACCAGATTTGTATAACAATGGGTTCATGGGCAGAATCAAATTTGAACCAAGGATTTGGGAATTTTAGGACTAAGGTTTTTGTCGAGCCTAAAGGCACTTAGGAACGAATGATTTAACTGATTGTGAAGTAACTATTTATATGTTTGGATGCCAACAATCACTGATTATCGTATCATTGTAACTGGGGCATACTCAGTTCCACACGGGCCCCGCAGGGCCCGACAGTAGGGTTAGGTGTTTCATAGGGTTTAGGGTCTGTGTCACCATAGGACCCAGTAGGCCACTATCTCGTCTTGCCATCTTTTGCCATTTGGCCGCCAGACTTTTCGGATTTTCGCCTGGCCCCTACCTTTTGCCATTTTTCGCCTGACTCCTGCGTTTGGGCGCCAGATTTTTCATATTTTCGGTTTTGGGACCAGAACAGAACTCCTGTTCTTGGCGTCATACCAGTTTTCCTTTCGACCAGACTGTTTCCTTTCAGCCTAGGACACTAGGCCCAGCGTTATATATAGCTGGGCCAGCCTCATTCTAGGCAGGTAGTTCTTCAGGCAGTCCACTGAGGTAGTGCCAGGCAGTTCTCAGCGGTAGCTCTGAGGTAGTAGCGAGTAGTCTTCAGTAGTCGACGCGCTGGGTGCGGTTAGGGTAGTCTACAGCGCTGGGCCCGAGCTAGGAGTTGGAGTGCTGCCGCTGCACTACAGCCAGAGAGAGAGAGTGAGAGATGGGCAAAGGGCAGGAGGACTTACCTGCGACTTAGCTGTGACGTCATAGCTCCAGCTTCGTCTTCGGGACGTCTGCACCTGCATCAAGGCGGCACCTTTTTGCAGGTTAGTAGCTGGCATACATGCAGTGACAGAGTGCGAGAGGATCGTTTCTTCTCGCCCTTCCTCTTTCCCTCCAGGGCTTCTTCTTCTTCTTCTTCTCCTTCTGCTGAGATAAGAGAGAGAGAGAGAGAGAGAGAGAGAGAGAGAGAGAGAGAGAGAGAGAGAGAGAGAGAGAGAGAGAGAGAGAGAGTTGGCATTGAGACTCGGTGACATTCGGGCATTGCCCAGTTCAGTGACATTGCGACTTGATATTGTGTGAGCAGCGACCTTGGGGATACATTGGAGACTGGCTCCATTTTGCTATGGTGACCGATCCTCCCTATATCCCTCTTCTCCCCTTCGTCTCCGCCCCCTGTTTCTGAGTGATGATGTATGTTGTCAGGTACTGTCATTGTCCATGCTGAGTCAGTCAGATCTTGGTATTACGGTCTTTCACTGTGCTATTTTTTTGCATTGTCTCTGAGAGGTCGGTTCTCGGTTCTGATCGATGCCGATTAAGCATGCGACAGTAACCGAAGCCATTTTTTTCGAGGATGGTCCCCTGGCCAGACAGGGGGGCTGGGTCGCCTGGCCGGTTGTCCCGCCTGGTTGGCCACCGGGCGACCCCAGCGCATTGAAGATGGGTGGGGGCTTTCGATTTTTTTCGGCACGGGTGGGCTTTTTGGCCCCATAGGAGGTCGTCGAGGCCCAAGGAAAAAAAAAAAAAAACGGGTCCGGTAGGCCTGATTTCATCGATTTGAAATCGGGACCGATCTTGGTCGTCGATCTCGTCGATCTCAAAGATCGACGACCCAGATGGGCCGTGATTTCAAGTCGGTGGGGGGTTTCAATTTTTTTCGGCACGGGTGGGCTTTTTGGCCCCATAGGAGGTCATCAAGGCCCAAGAAAAAAAAAAAACCCGGGTCCGGTAGGCCTGATTTCATCGATTTGAAATCGGGACCGATCTGGGTCGTCGATCTCGTCGATCTCAAAGATCGACGAGCCAGATGGGCCATGATTTCAAATCGGTGAGGGCGGGAACTGCTGGCCCGTTCCCTCCCCACACGACCGCTCTGCCCCCAAAGTCCCCTCATTCCCTCCCCCGCACGACGTCTCCCTTCGCCGGTTGCCATTTGCCCATGGCAACTCCTACGACCCCTGCCAACGCGTATGGCCCGCTGTCGCCTGCCAACGGCAGCCATCGCAGTTCCCCGCCGGCGCCAAGGTAAGTGAGTTAGATTTGGGGGGGGGAAGAGAGAGAGAGAGAGAGAGAGAGAGAGAGAGAGAGAGAGAGAGAGAGAGAGAGCACATATAGATGTGTATAAGAGACAGCACACACACACACACCGAGTACTTACCTCGACAGGCGCTGGAGATGGCAGCAGTGGTGCGGCCTCAACATGGCAGCGATCGGGCTACTATGCAGGTTTTCGAGATGGCGGCAGGTGTCGACTTCCAGTGGTGGGGCTCCTTGGGCAGATGTGAGAATGCCATTAGCGGTTTCCAACATTGTGCGAATGGCAGCCCGTACCAGCGGCTGAAATTTGAATGCTGGCAGGGCTGCTATTCACGCGATGTTGGAAAACGCGAATGGCATTCACACTGCCCCTTTCTGGACGAATACCGACGGCAGTATCGCTCTTCCAGAAATGGCCTCGACCGGGCCCCTTCAATTGTTTTTCTTCGTGGTCTGCCCTCTGGACGACGTCGGGAGGATGTCTGAACCGATTCGGGTCGTCCCAACGCCCCCAATCATTTTGCGCTGGGGATGCCCCGTGGCCAACTCGGCGACACAACCGGCCAGCCCTCCCCTCCCCTTCTCCGCAAGGAGACGTCCAGCCAGCCTTACGTTCAAATTTCAAACTATATTGTCAATTTGTCACCCCCGATCATTTTGAGCTGAGGATACCTGGTGGCCAACCGGGCGACACAACCGGCCAGCCCNGAGAGAGAGAGGGGGGGGGGAGGAGAGAGAGAGAGAGAGAGAGAGAGAGAGAGAGAGAGAGAGAGAGAGAGAGAGAGAGAGAGAGAGAAGTTCAACTTTTTCTCGTTCTTCTTCTTCTTCTTCTTCGCTGCTGCTGCTGCTTCTTTCCTCTTCTTCTTCGCTGCTTCTTCTTCTTTTCTTCTTCTTCTTCTTTTCTTCTTCTTTTCGTCTTCTTATTCGCTGCTTCTTCTTTTTCTTCGCCCCCGTTTTGAGCCCCCCAGCCCTCTTTCTTCTTCTTCTTCTTCTTCTTCTTCTTCTTCTTCTTCTTCTTCTTCTTCTTCTTCTTCTTCTTCCACCACCAAGATTCCATCTAAATAAGAGCTAAGCAGTGAACTCGTCGATGTTATTGCCCTCAGGCCCCACCAACACAGTATCCAATGTCGCTCAGCACAGTATCCAATGTCACTCAGCTCTGTCTGGCGCCCAGCGCCCAGCCTGTTCTACTGAGCCTATCTACATTCGTCCAACATGATCACTTCTGACGCTGAAGACCAATGTACATGGCGTCAACATCAGTCAATGCCGACCTCCCACATACACCAGGTACGTTCTCTCTCCTCCCCTCATCAGACCTTGACCACCCACTCATCCGCCTCCTACCCGAAGACCACCTTCGCCCATCACCCGCATGCGCCCCTGCAGCCCGACTATAGCTGCCGTGCGCCCGCCGCCCTACAGTGCCCCTCTCACCTCATAGCGCCCACGTGAGCCCCAGCCAGCAGTGCACATGCAGACAGTTGCGCAGCAACGCAGCAGCGTGTCCGCATTGCCTGCCTAGGCCACAATCTCTCCACTCTGGCCAGCAATCTTCCTATATGGAAGTCGCTGCCCTGTTTGGTGGGTGGGCCTGGCTGAGGAAGCTCCCAGTAACTTCCGGTCGGGCCCCAGTGTCTGTGTCCAGGCCCTGTCTGACAGTTTGAGGCCTGGGCCGTTTCTGGTTGGCCACGTCCAGGCAGCCTCCAGGCTCCAAGTGTTTGTCGTATTCTCATTGGCTCGCTGGGCCTCTGTGACGACAATGCTGCATTCTGATTCACCCGCGGCCACTTTGTGATGTGTCGGCCTCACACTGCGTGTCCCGAGGGCGCAACCACCTGGCCCTGGGCTCAACTGCTTGACACAGCTGCTGTTTCTGGAAAGAGCCCAGGGAGAGGCTCATGTTGCACTTCAACCAACTGGCGTGCTGCAATTGTCTGATACCCACATTGGAAAATGCTGAGATAAGGGCCTCTCGTAAATATTCAGGCCCACCTTCACTTAGGGCGGGCACGGTGCTCGGTGCGGGCCACAGCCCATATCATGTGCATGTCGGCCCAGGGCACATTCCTCACACTTCCTTCTTCTTCTTCTGCTTCTTCTTTCTTGGTCACCGTTCCGTGCCCCCCTGCCCGCCATCCCCGACCACCGTATCCGATTTTTTTATATTTTTTTAAGAAGACGAAGATGATGATCGATGGTGGTGCGAGGATTCGGTTCCTCGGCAGGCCTAAGGGGCCCATTTTGCAATGTATGCCCGCCCTAAGTGAGGCGGGCCTGACAAAATTACGAGAGGCCCATGGTTGTCAATTTCGCATTTGGGGTTCAGACAGTTGCGTCGCGGTAGTTGGTTGAGGGAACCCAGGCCACAG